GATAACAGAGCTATAAATCAGAATAGCTGTGCAGACCTGACACGTTTTCTATGTACAATTCAGACATCCGACAAGGAAAAGATCTAACAGACGAGATAGAGGTGTCTGAATAGACTGAGTTAGCCTGGGCAGTCCCTGCCTTCTGAAAAGCATAGGTTCCTGTCATGTTAAAAGGGCAATTATTTCATGTGAAACTGGTGCTAGCAAGCTATGGTTGTTGACCTTGAGAACCACCTGGATAGCCATCACTGTATCCAGGAGCACTGTCAATGCCTAAATTACATTCACCTGGACAGGGTAAGTACAAAACTGCTGTAGAAAATAAAAGAAAATAAAATACAAATAACGTACAATTTTTTAAGCCTTGTGCTGGGTAAAACCTACTAAACACAGCTAAGGGCAGATATTAAATATCCTCTGAGAACTGGTATCTGTGTGCCACAGAGGCTGGAAAGAGAGTCCTCTTCACTGTGTGGTTAAGAACGCTCTGACGTGGAATGAACCAGAATTTCAGAAGAATGATGCTGGTACCTGCCTATTACAAGCTAAAGTTTTCAGTGACTGATTCTGCTATTGACCTGGACTCCTGAATAACCGTGGGGAATCACAGAATCCTCGATGTCCTCAGAAGGGTAGACGACGTGCTCATCAGGGAGCCTTGACCCCTGGGAATCCATGGAAGTAACCAATCGATCCTGTTCTGGGATTTTGCAGGTCTGCAATAAACCAGTAGATGCATCAAAGTGGCCCAGACTGCGAGCCTGTGTCTGTCTTCCTGCACTCCCTCCCCCTCACCTCTGCTGTGCTCCTCTGAGTGATGGACAGGGGAGGGACGGGTCAGATCCACAGCGCAGGTGGCCTCACGTGATGGTGCTGGTTGGGGGTAGCTGTGCCACGGCAGCTCTCTGGAAGGCTGTGTGAAGGGTGGTGATGAAGGGGAAATCTGTTAGAGGGAACGTGGGATGTGTCTGAGGGATGCTGCACACTGACTCCTGAGCAGAGATGAGCAACTTTGCTGACTGTTCAGAGTCCTAAAGAACATAACGATGAAACAAGAGTCAAGGGCATTCGAAAGAGAAATATTTAGATGGAATTACTGAAATAAGCTTAAGGCATGAGGATAACCAAAGGGTATGTTCTTTGAAACTGAATAAATATAAAACAGTGGAGGACGTGGCAACGTCTATGTATGTAGAGGGCCGTTGACTCTCCAGGCATCCCCGTGCTTATGGCAAGGTCTCCGGAGTGGCGCATGCGTGATGCTGGAGGAAAGGCCATGCATACTCATGTTTTATAAACTCCTTCCATCGCCCATTAGAAGGAAGGGAATTATTTTGACTTGTGTTAATAAAAGATAGGACACAGAAACAGCACCTTTAGAAGCTGTCCCCATCACCCTAGGGGACAATCCTGGCTGACACTTCAGTCTTGCCTTTCTCTTCATTTTCCCTTGTTGTGATGCAAATGTAAACTCCATACCCCTCCAAACTTCAGACTATACGCGTTCCATTCTTTGTGTTTAACTTCCCTCAGGACAGCATGCACATTAGGCATCTCTGTGAGTGCAAGTGCCTGTCTGCCTTCTAGAAGTGATTGAGTTCCCACAGTTCCGGGCCTGCCCACATCTGATCCCGAGGTCCCACAGCTCTGGGCCTGCCCACATCTGATCCCGAGGTCCCACAGTTCCGGGCCTG